CCCATTTAGGGAAACCGCCGAATGAGTCTAGCGCGATTACGGAAGGGTAGGCTACTCGAGCCGCCTGGAGGCTCCGCAGGCTTTGGCATTACTACTGCAAGCAGTGCTCAGTGCTACAGGGGTTTAGGGTTCAGGGTTTAGGCGCTGACTAATCTCCTTGGGACTTAGCTTGGACCTTAGACCCTTAGCCCTTTGGACTCTCCTAGTATAGGTACCTAAAAGGTTAACCCTGTTAGAAGGGGTCCGAAGTGCCACATAGTAATTATCAATAGTATTACCTTGAATTCCTTGTCGAATTATGGTAGAAGGTTCTCTAAATTTACATTAGCATTCGTACTTTCTTCAGGCTCCTACCTTACAGTTCTTTGGTCTCTCAAGGTGGGGCACATGCCCTGAGAATGAGTTGATAATTTCAGCTCTATAAATTTTCAAGAACTAGCTGAAATTACAGTTTCTACCAGGGTTGTGGGGAACGTAGAGCTACCTACAGGCAAAATGCCTTCCGCAGGTAGTATGAAACCCTAATATTGGATATTCCCAGTGTGGGAATATCTAAGATCAGGGGGGCCGGTTGGATTTATTAGGGGGAGGGGATTAGGCTGCTGTATTTACATGGACAGGGTGGAATTAGCAAACCGAGCCATGTGGACGCAGTCGATTCTCGTGGGCTGTTCAGATCTTACCCTATAGTCCCCCTTAAGTAGATAGAATATGGCGTTGGGTATATTATAACAAGGTCCCCATATGCCCCATATTCTATCTACTTAGGGAGGACTGTACTCCTAGCCCATCTCAATGTCCAAGGTCTGCAGAATTGCTATCGCCAGTGTGCTTCCTAAATGCTTCCTCTTCTGAGGGTTATTTAGCCATGAACCTATTTAGCCTTGAACCTCCAGACATGTGTTGCTCTTCGATAGCTGGACCAAAAGGTATGAACTCAGGTATACCCTCGCTTTCCCTCCCTGCACGCTGTTTCAAGGCTACTTTCATGGCGTGTCATCTTCTCATAATGAGAAGAGACACATTTTCCTGCCTGCAGTGGCTGATGCAAAAGCCAAGTCCACCAGAAGTTGATCCCTGGGCCGAGAGGCCAGGCTTTCGTGTCTCCAAGTCTGGGTTAGAAAACCCTATAATTTACGATATACCCATTGTACGACAGTTAAGTTCCTTAATAGCAACCCAGATTGAGGGTTTAGGCTTATCTAGACTTTTGCGAGGAGTTCAGGGCAATGTAGACTGTAGAGTTGAGACTTTGTCTTGGGCTATTCGTGCATGTCTTAAAGGCTGCCAAGGGCACTAGCTAGAGCTCCAGCAATCTGATTACTGCAGAAAGCAAAGAACATTTCACTGGAGAACCCTTCTAAACTTGTAATGTGATATACCCCCCAAGACCCCCCTTCTCATTGTGTAAACCTTAAACCCTGAATTTCGAAGCAGCGCTATCCAGTGGTGAGGCTTTGTAGGCCCTTTGAGCAGGAAGCTTTATCTGCACAAGGCGCATACATGCGGTTTAGGGGTTTAGGGTTTAGGGGTTTAGGGTTATGGGGTTTAGGGTTATTGGGTTTAGGGTTTAGGGTTATTGGGTTTAGGGTTTAGGTGTTTAGGGACATCCAACCTTCTAAATTGATTTTGCGTAGGCTTCAGGGTTTGGGTTTGGGTTGGGTGTTTCCCTTCGCATGCGGCGATAGCGGGCCTTTCAGAGAAAGCGTATGGCCTTGATACATGTTAAACCTTCTGAAATGTCACGGGGTTTGGGCCATATTCAAATTAGAACTGCCAAACCCTCAAACCCCAAGCCCCTTACCCCTAAACAAAAACAACAAATTCGCCAAATCCCCCACCAAACAAACAAAGACGCCAACCACAAAAAGGGCACTTGAACTCTGGAGGCTGGAGACCGCTCTCGTGGAATCTCGCAGGGCCAACTTCTACCAGTTCGCCCGATTCGCAAGCTTTGCGCCTTGGAGTGGAGGGAGAGAGAGCGATGGGCCCTGTTCAGGGAGATTCTAGGGGCCCTTCAGAGCATATGTGTATATATAGGGTTTATGTTAAGTGGGCCCCCACCCAGTAATAGTGGTATAATTGGACAATAAGATGACCCCTATATAATCACCATTATCCCTTATATGGTGACTATTACAGTGTGGGGGGGGTCCACCTAAGGTATTTATTGGGTACAGGGAGACCCCAGGATTAAGGGCCCATACTGAGGGTCATCTCAATCAAGGGTTTCAGGCTTCAGGGTTGTGCCCCTGGGTTTTGGGATCCTTGTAAAGGACTCTAGGGAACTACATTGGCTCATATAAGGGCTATATTAGGGCTATATTGGGGAAACCTTTTAGGGGCACCACCTTCGGGCTACAACCCGGGAACCCGTGACTAAAGGCCTCGGATTCCGGATCTTTGTTTTGTATTTAACCGTCTTGAGAATTTCAAGTAGATGCACCCTAGTCCAAGTCTACATGATGGTGATATTTCGGTTATATGTCCTGCCCCTAACCTCCCCCAAAAAAAACTAAACCTCAAACCCCCTTGAACCCTGTTATAGATTGGTTACAGTGATCCATGGACTTCCAGATAGCGCTTTCCGCGGTTTAGGGTTTGGGGTTTAGCGGCTTTTGGTGCTTTTTGGCTTTAGGGAAGGGTTAGTGGAAGTTTAGGGGTTCAAGATTTAGGGGGCTCGCCAGTTGCGCTTAAGCGGGTTTGGAGTGTAGGATTGTGGGTTGGGCTTCAGGCATCTAAGGGTGAAAGTCTTGAGGGTCCAGGATTAAGGATTTTGGTGGGGTTTAGGATTTTAGTTTCTGGGCTGCGGCGCGTGAATCTTAGCCGATGACCTGATTTTTCACAGACCAAAATCTGGTTCCTAATAGGGATATGGCAGAAGGGTATGGTTCTTAGGTTTATTTGGTTTTAATGTGGTACAGTGAATACTAAGCTCCACCATCACCCTCAGAACCTGAGACTCTGGGAACTATGGTGCTGCTTAGGCAGGATTTTTTAGTATCAACCATAAAAAGCAGGATTATTGCCAACAGCTGCTTGCAGGGTGAAGGGATTTCTAGGGACAACACACACAGAGTGCTTCCAGACCCAAATGAGGACTTCCCTGAATCAAGAGACCCTTTTTGGGGCTCCCTATAGTCATTATGATAATATATTGGGTATATGAGGGGGCCTCCATGTATGGAAACCTACCACGCTGTGAACCACCTTCCCCGTGGTTTAGGTCCGAGCTTAAAGGGTCTAGGGCTTAGGGCTTAAGATGTTTGGGCGTTCGGCTTCTGGAATCCCCTTGGTCTTGAGGATCCCAGACAGTTCAACCGCATGTCATGTTCCTAAAATGTGTCTGCATTCCGGTTGGCGGACTCTATCAGGTTTGGGACGTACTTGGAGTCAGCAGGACTTAGCAAGTAGGCTAATAATGGGGATAACTGGGGTTACTATATGGCTGTGGGCTATAGAGGTTCTTAACCTACCTCCGAAGTTCCTTTGACCCTCCGAGTACAGCTTCAGCCCCAATCACCTGGACAGGCTGGCGGCGGAGGGACCTGCTATTTCATTTACTCCTACTACGTGAATCCCATCCTTAGCGAATTTAGCTTCGCCTGTGGGACTGCAGTCATGTACCCGCGATGCAGTCAGGAGGATGACATGGGGCAGGGTGTCGGGCGTGGTAACGTAGACCCCTGTTAGGGGTCTGGGTTAGAGAGAAGGATTTTGCTAGATTGCCGGGTCATCGTTACTGGTAGGGACAGCTGCCTAGGGGAATACAGGCCAATCATTTGTTTTGCATGTGCGGAGTTTCTCGAGTAGCCGAGGTACATCCAGCTGACAGCAGTTGCAACCCATGCTGTGGAGCTCACCATCGGACGGGCACAGTTCTGTTGCAGCTGCTTCTACGGATTCCTCGCACTTTGCTACTTAGAGCTGCCGTTCATCCAACAAGCTCACATTGACGCCAATGCCTACGACATCAACTTGAACCAAGTCTGAAGTGCTTGAATGGGGTTGGTCCTATGTGGACGGCAGAGATCTTGCACCACTTGAGATCCCCGATGATGGTACTTATATCTACTCCCCCACTCCCCCTGAAGCACCAGTAGGCTTCGTTCAGATAATCAACTCCCGCCCATCTAATATGAGCTACGGCAGACCTACAGGGGAATGTCTCGGGGTATAGGGGGGCCCACAGAACATATTAGAACTTTCGTCCAGGGAATTTCATGGTACCACAGTGGGGTGGGTGACTCTGAGGAATGGGATGGACTTTTCAGCCGCAGCCCATGCTGTAGGCTTTCAGCAAGGGGCTCCCCTTACAAGCCTGAATAATGATGGCCCCTCTCCCAAAGATGGGGCAAAGGCGTTTTGCGGAATTTCCAATGAATCATAGTTTCCTGCCAAACCTTACTGCAACATTTTGCAGTAGGCCGCTTCAAGGCCGCCGCGCTGATGAGCTCCTCCCCTTTGAAGATCTTAATGCAAAACCTCACTCCTGTAGGAGCCTACACAAATTACTAACGTTGTTCCCTTGCAATCCCGGTATAGTTATGATGTCTAAACTACCCAAAACCGTTTTCAAAAAGTTGTCCAAAATCCACAGTGCAGAGCTGGTGAGAAAGGCTTTTTACTTGGCCCTCCTTGCATTTGAGCATGGAGAGGGTCAGATTTTTGTTTCTGAGGGTAGCTGTGGGGACCTGAACTCCTGAATCCGAACCACGTACACGAACCCACATCAGCCCTCCAGGAAACATTGGCCTTTCAAGGAAAAGGCGTAACAACTCATACACCTGCCCCTCCAACGATTTACTTTTTGTAGACTTTGGACCACCAAGCACTTTTGGGCTTGGAGCCCCGGTCTAGATGAACATCGTCAACCATACTGAAAGCTTTTAAACCGATAGCCCCCCTTAAGTGGATAGAATATGGCTTTGGGTATATTATAATCAGATCCCCATATACCCCATATTCTATCTACTTGAGGGGAATTATAACCACTCAAGGACCGCTTGTCGATTCATCATAGCAGCCGTGACGATCGACACAAGGCTCAATGAGCTCCATGCCAACACACCTCAATTCGTCAACCCTTCGGACTCAACCCTACGGGACTACTATATGGGGATATTAGGGGGGATACCAGTTTTTGGGGGCTATACTAGGGATTGTGGAAAAGAAAATGGAAACTACAACTACTGGGCCATTTAAAGCAGCCTCCCCCGACCTCACCCCACATGGTGGTTTATATAGGGAATAGTATCAAGATGACCTTTAATTGGGAATTGAAAGTATTCATCCTAAAACAAGGGTTCCAGCTAAGGAATTTAGATTCAGCTACTATAAGAAGGAAGCCCCAGTAATAGGGTCACTTAAGTTAAGCTACTGTAAGAAGGAAACCTCAGTATTTACTATATACCCATAATGTGGTAGCTCAAACTAAGTTCCTTAAACCCAGAAGAAACCCCAACCCTCAAGCTGTCCATCCTCAGCCCCCTAGGCGTAAACCGGAAGCCTTATGCGATAGACCGAGGTTTGGGGGTTGAGGGATTAAAGTGATTAGATGTTTATTTCGGGGTTGAGGGCTTATGGGTTAGGGGTTTAGGGTTTAGGGGTTCAATTGGTGGCATAAAGGCTGCAGGCCCCTTAGCAGTCGCAAAGAATCTCAGGCACATCTCCAAGGTCCCAGGGTTTAGGCTTCAGGGCTCAGAGTTCCTTAAAAAGGCCCTTTTAGGAGCCGCTTTGCATAAGAGTTTCTCAGCTTTTTAGAGTTTTGGGGGGGTTCAAGGTTTAGGGTTTAGGGTTTTGCCCTGTAATCAATCCGCTCCGTAGAGGACTTTCTTAAAGGATCTGTCCTATTTGTGCCTCCAATTGCAACACCCCCAAACACCACACACGAAAGATTTTACATTCTTTGGATCCCCCACATGGATCCCAAAATGGCAAATGATTCCAGTATGTTGAACAGACCCCAACACGGAAACAATCCTTTATATTCTTGAAGCCCAACGCATGCCACGTATGAAAACAGAGATGCCCATGACCCCTACTCCCTTCCACATCCCCCTCCTCCCTCGCTCCCTCAAAGATCACGACTAAGTACGAACGCACCTGGGTGAATGCCAAAGTCGTTTATGCCCGAGTTTTTTACATATCTCTTTCAAAGCCTTACCGTCGCCATCTTAGATGAGGGACGCATGGTCCTGCATCTGAGACGTTGTGCAGGCACACCTACCATGTTTCTGTTGATTTTCACTTGGAAATGCTTTCAAGGGATTGCCCACCTAAGTCCCTTCCTTACCCCGTATCCCACATTCTTTAGCTCACAGTGCGGCTTGAAAGTACGCGCGGGCTTAGCGGGAGATTGGAGAGCAGGTCCATTCCCTGACACTCCCCTAAGTACCAGAAAGCTACGCGTTGCAACTCTCAAACTTTTCAGTCTGAACCTTGATATCAGCGTCCCCATCATCATCATCATCATCATCATCATCCAAAGCTTGGAGGGTACGGCAACATGCGGCCGCATTGATTACATCTTGGGCTAAGCCCTAAACCGTTCATGCTTGAGTTCGTTGACACAGCACCGAATAACGTAGGCTACCTGGGAAGTACCACGTGTGTAGGTGAACTGGGTTTCTGTTAACGAACTTGAACTAAGTGACTAGAATGGGTATGTATATATACACTGAATAATAGTAGGCCTTCCCCAATATAGTAACTTGAACCAGGTTTCTTAACAGCAACCCAGTAAATCTGCCACATGGTTGTGGAGGCTCTCGTTGCCCTGGCAACTGCTCCTGTCTGTTGGACAGCTCTGGGCGGACTTCAATGGGCCGCCAGTTTTGTTTGGAGGGTGTCAAATTGTCAGAGGTTAAACCCCGGAACTCCAAATTGTAAACCCTGCATAATCCCCTATATAACGCCCTTTGAGGACCCTTAACCCTAAACCCTACATAATAATCCCCCCATTTTTCCCCCTACAAGGCTTTGTTCTACAAGGGGCCGCTATATAACCCTCTTTCAGGACCCTAAACCCTAAACTCTATACAATGCCCCTCTTTTACCCCCTATAAGGCTTTGTTCTACAGTGGATCCAGCAGATGAGGGCTACTCAGAGCCTGGGCTCTCAGGTCTTAGATGGCCCAAGCATTAGGGAACAAGTTACTGGATACCCTGATAACCCAGTTGAAGCCATTGTGGTGGCTACACATGGTAACTACACATGCTACTTCCCAGCTAGTTCTTGACTATGTTGTGTCAGTCTATGTCGCAGGCCGCCAGTGGGTGCAAGTGGCCGAACTCCTCCGTGAAAATACCCAGTTATGACAAGTACTATTATTATTACTATGACTATGACTATTACTAATACTATTACGATTACTATTATTATTACTATTACTTTTTTTTACTATTACTATTATTATTATTCAGCTCAGGACCGCTTAGACCAGACACTGCCTGAAGCTCTTGATGCCATTACTTGGAGGGTCAGGGAGACTTAGTAAGTAGGTTAATATGGGGATAATTAGGGTTACTATCTGGGTTATAGGGATTATTGACCTACTTACTAAGTCCCCCTGACCCTCCAAGTACGCCCCTACAGTCTGGAACATAGATCAAAAGCTCTATTTTGGAAGCCTTGCCCGAACAAAACTCCAAAAATCACGGCCTGCTTCACGACCCGAACATGGTTGTAACCCCCTTAAGGCTGCCTGAACCCCTGAATCCTTCTCCCCTGTTCAGCAGTTCATGGCATGTAGTATCCCAGGTTCCGTTTGAAAGTGGCCGACACCAAAAAAGGGAAGCCATTTCGCCCTAGGCTACTGAAGATCAGAAAGCCCTTAACCCCCAACGCCAACGTCCAATCAAAGGCCCGGCGGCGTGCGTCATCCCGCATTCTCCATCTTCCTCCAGGGTGTCGTGCTGGGCTTGACACTTCTGGGGTAGGCTGCCTGCACCAAGGTCCAAGCAGCTCTCAATTCTTGATCTTGTTCTTGCAGAAATTATGATCAGTAGCAGGAAGCAGCAGCAGCAGCAGCAGCAGCAGCATCACTATTGAGCAAACAGGTAATGTGAGCACAACTGAAATACAAGCTAACATTGAACAACCCCGCATGACGCTCTCCACAACACCTTGGGGTGTCAATTGCAAGTTTCGCTCCCTAATAATACGGAATGAGGACCCCACAAATCCTTTGTAATCCCCATATTCCAAAGGGGCACCCTCTTTGGAGAAAGTCCCCAGGCCTTCTCGATTGCTGTTGGTTTGAAAGGTATATACAGTCACCAGCATTCCCCAAAGGTCTCAAACTGACAAATCTGCTATCTTGCATGGCCAAGAACAGATTAAGCCCTCTCTCTACGTCTCGGGAGATCTGCTTGTAAGTCGCTCAGGATGGCACCCACAACTATAAACCACTCCCATGTGTCAGCCGACATGTGCTAAGGTCTCATACCCTGGAGACGTGCGTGCGGTCAAACATCCGTGCACAGTTCCATTGCTCAGTTTCCTGGCTGCATAGTTTCTCCTCCTCGACTAGAATACTGTTACTACTACAGCCTGCTGACTAAGGCTACAGCAGTTGTTCTAACTAGCTACCGTCACTACTTTCTGATTGTACCGCTTGCTCATACCTATTCAACACCAACAAATCATCAAGAGGGTCTATGCTTTCGCTTGCTTGCTAGAGTCCTCTTAATGCCTACCCGTCCTGCCCCTGGTGAAGTCATGCCAAACCCTAAACCCAAGCCAAAAGATTCACAGGGGAGCTCGGAGGTCTTATCTTTGGTTACCTAGGAATGCAGGAATGGATCCTAATGGTAGTCCTTATATAACCCATTATAGTAGTTTCCATTTTTCTTTTGCATTCCTTCATTCCTGGCTAACCGAGTGGGCGGGGCCCAGACCTTGCCCGAGTTGTTTGTCGCCCCCCTCTCTTGTGTGCTAGCCCCTTCGTACCCATCCCTGCTCTGCCGCCCGTGAAGCGAGCTTTGAGCAGTTTGAACTCACCTCAGGTTTGGGGCCTTTTCTTATGGCAGGTTGAGGTCGAAGAATGCCTGGAAACAGCACATTGTCATTGCTTTTCCACGGCGCTCCATCAGGGATTCTTCCAAGCGAATGTGCACGGAGTGTGCACCAAATCTCAACTGAACCGAAATGAGGCTTAGTATTCAGCGTCAACGGTTGAGTTGCGTGGCTTGGGCCTTGCTTCTGGCAAGAATGGAACTGCCTGGGTAATAGAGTGCTCAAGTCATGACCAGGGTCTAGGCGACAGCCCCTAAGAGTTGGACTGCGTACTTGCCTTTCGTAAGCTGCTTATCTAGTATAGGAGTTTTGTATGATTGGGAAACCTTGCACCCTAAAACCCTGAACCCTAAATCGTCTGGTCCAGACACCCAGGATGCCGAGTCTTTGATGTTCAGCTTCCGCCGGATGCTACGGGGGATATGCGATGGGGAGGACGGCCTGCCATATGCTCAATTTTTTAGGTCTTGGTATGAATATGACTGAAAGTAGTACTTTTCCTATTTTACTTCTACTCACACAAGTTGGCCCTTGTTTTTTGCGTCTTGTACTGTTACTGCTACCGCAACTTGTACTTACAAATACTCTTGCTACGGCTGTTACTTTGCTATTATTGTTGCTCTGTTACTATCGCTGGTATGAGTACTATTAGCAACACCATTGGTATTAAGATATGCTTGGTATTATTACTACTCCTATGTTTGCTTTTTGCTGCTACTATCACTATTGCGATCTCTCTTCCCAGACCCCCGAAAGGATCCAAAAAAAATGGAACTCCTTACTAATCCCTTAGGGTCCCCAATGTAGTAATGGAGCCATTTTGCGGGGGGGTTCCAGTTTTTGGATCCTTTAGGGGGTCTGGGTGGGGTCATTCCCCCTTACAGTAACTGTTACCACAATGGGTTATAGGAGTTATAAGAGCCCCCTTAATAAGGCCCCTTTAAGGACAGTTATTGGGAGGGGGAATGACCCAAGGTCTGGGTTACTGTTGCTATCATTGGCAGCTTTTGTGGGGCCAGGCTGCTGGTCAGGAACAGTCATCCCATCCCTTTTCTTACCCATGTGGAATAGGAGTAGTAACAATGCCAGTAGTTTGGGTACTGCCCCCCCCAAGCAACAGTCTGCATTAGGGGTCCTACTGAGGGCTATGTAAAACCATATAATATTTATTATCCCACTGTTACTGAGGGGGGCAGTACTGAACCAGTAATATTCATACCGATGGTAATGGTAATAGTACTCATAACAGTGATAGTAACAGAGAAACAATTTTAGTTTCAATACAGAGGTACCTGGTGATTCAGGGACCCCAAACCTTAAACCCTCGGGTTGGATTTTAGGGTGGCTAGCTAGCGTTGTTGCCGTAGGTTCTGGATAGGGTCCCACAAACACAAGGGAAGGCCCCACGCACAGTGCGATTGGCAGGTCCTGTTGGACAGCAACCTCCGAATTCACAGTGTTTCGGACTGCCTGAAGCACCTACTGATGACGAGCACGAACTTGCAACATGGATGTTCTTAGCACTCGTTTGACAACGGGCTTGAGCATTTTTCACGTGCCGTAAAGTCCACGGTATAGGAACTTTTGACCAACTTGTTTCTCTATGACTTTTGGAAACTGATTTTCCCTTTTCTTTTCCATTATCCCCATAGAACCCCTAGTTAATCCCTATTATAATTTAGTAGTTTCCATTCTCTTTTCCGTTATCCCAAGTATAGCCTATATAGACCCCAGTATACTATAGTAGTTTCCATTTTCTTTTCCATTATCCCCACTATAATCCTTATGACTCTTGGAATTGCTGCTCGCAGAGGACTGGAGCACTTAGGTACCAGCATCATGGTACACACCGGGAAAGTAGCAGAAAATCTTAAAGAGGGTTATATTGGGGTTATCATAGGGTATATACGTAGTAGTGGGGAATCAAACGGAAAATGAAATGGAAATTGGGATTATAGGTTCGCTCTCACAGGCCAAGAGGCATCATCTCAAGTTTATGAAGACCTCAGCACGCGTTTTATGGTTTAGGGCTTAGGCTTTGAGGTTTAGGGTTAAGGATTTGGGGTTTAGGGCTTGGGGCTTTGGGTTAAGGATTTAGGGTTTAGTACAAATCCAGACAGGCGAAGGGAGGCCAGAACTAAACCCTGAACACTAAACCCTAAACCCTGAACTCTAAACCTGTGAATTATGGCCGTGTAGTGAAGTTAGAGTATGTGTCTTTAGTATGACCCCTGAATCCTGGAGTCTTTATCTACTTTGATAATCCTTAGACAGCCTAGAACCCTAACTCAGGGCCCATAGTTGGGACCAGGAAAGATGTAGCGGCCCATGTTACAAACCCTGCATAGGTTCCCCAAACTAGAGGCACCAGGCTTTTTGGGGATGCCCAAATTAATGGTTGTAGAGCTTTGGGTCTACATTGAAGTCTACAAATATTTACTGGGGGCTCGTGGGGCATTAGGGACTACATTGCGTAGGGAATATACGGGGATTCCATTCCCTTATTCCCCACCTTGAGCCCGAAATCCCAAGCCCCAAACCCTAAACCCTACATTATATAGGGATGATATTCCTATACCCTAAACTCTAAACCTAGACCCTTCACCTATTTTGGGCGTCTTGAATCCCTACCTAGGACCATTAACGATCATCAAAGTTTCTCTGGCCACGAGCCATGAGTACCTTAAAAACTGCAAGGTTTAGGGTTGAGAGCTTAGGGTTTAGGGTTTAGGGTTGAGAGTTTAGGAATTAGGGCTTAGCGTTTAGGGTTGAGAGTTTAGGGTTTAGGGCTCAGGGTTTTTGGTTGAGAGGTTAGGGTTTGGGGTTAAGGATCTGCCTAAACCCTACACATTCTTGGGATCCACTCGCCCATTCTTCCTTAGCGCTAGTAGAGATGATCATGCCAACCCCAAGCCTGAGGTCCAAATTTGCAGACCTGTGCCCGAAACCAATGCCCTGGATTGACACTGTGTAATGGGTATAGGGTTTTAGGGGAATAGGCCCCCTTAAGTAGATAGAACATGACATTGCCCAATATCACAATAAGATCCCTTCATACCCTATCTTTCATCTTCTTAAGGGAGACTACAGGCCACCCCGAGGACCTGAAGGATATGTTTTTTGTAGTGCGTTCTTGCGGCGGGTCTCTTACAAAGACGTGTTCCTGTCTTTCTACGGGTCCCTACATCGGTTCCCCCTAGTCTGGGGACGCTGCTTGTTCGCCTTCGTGCTACAATTGTTACATTTCTTTGCAACATGCTAGGTGATAGTGCTTCTAGTTTTCTTGCTACAGCACTTTTTGGGGGGGTTGAGCCTCAGGCATGGCAAGTCGTTTCAGCAGCTGCTTCACCCCGCCGATCTCCAGAAGTTCCGCCAATTTATGGAGACCTCTGCAGCAAGCACGGCGCAGAATGACAGTATGCCCCCTTGCCTGCGTGTGTCTTTGCCACTGGCATTGCAAAGAGTAGACTCACATGTTTGCTTGCATTAAGTCAAGTTCCTAATGCTTGATACTGTACGTATGTATGCCTTCTCTGTCAGGTAGTTAGGGAGCTTACGCCATCAGCTTTGGTTGAATACTAATACGCATAGCTGCCGTTTTCGTAATCCCGCACTTGAAACTGAGGCTGGGCGCAGCGAACACCAGGATTCCCGTGGACTTGTACCACGCCCCTTAGACTTGAAACAGCAACCAAAATTTAACATTCAGGCATGAAAGGCAGAGGAGGCGGGGGTGGGAGGGTGGGGGAGGGGGCGAGAAATACGCTTGTGTTCCAAAACGAACAGCACACCTGCCTGGTGGACCTCCAAGGAGCTTTTTCAGCACGTAGTCCCTGCCCCTTATATAAACCTTACACGGGTAGCAACACACGATGGAATGTCTGCACTAGTTCCAGGCCAGGTATTCTTCATGGAGAAAAAAGTTGTGCGGCTCTGAGAACCAATGGCCATTTATTTGGGGCTTTGAGTGTTGTGGGTCGTGGGTTTTTCTGAGGCCTTCAACACCTACAAGCATAGCACCTAGATTAGGGTGTAGGGTCTATTACCTGCACTATGGTTCTAGACTCCCTTTGTAATCATTGTAAGAAGGTGCCACAAAAGGACTTCAAATGTATTTTGGTCGCTATTCAGGCCCCTGCTTTACATTCATAAATGTTGAGCCCCGAGACCCGAGACTGTTAAACTCTACACCTTGACTGTGCTATCTGTTAATTAAGTTCAGAATGAAGGAACGCAACGGAGCATGGCAATACTGGAATAGTTCTGGGCATCCATTCCTCTATCGCCTATTCAAAACTTGTGAGTCAAACTCTGGAGAAGATCTCCCTAAACCTTAGTCCCTACTCCTTAAACCCTACTCCCTAAACCCTAATCCCTAAAACCTACTCCCTAAGTCCTAAATCCTAATCCCTAAATCCTAAACCCCAATCCCTAAGCCACAAGCCTAAACCCCTAAACCCTAAACCCAGGTCCCCATTTCGAAGCTTTATGGCTCGCATGATCCATACCACCTCATTGCCCTCAAGGACGCCCTGGTCATGGGGAGTTTCTTCAGGGTTTAGGGCTTAGGGTTTGGGGATTTTGGTTTGGGGTTTAGGATTTAGGGTTTAGGGTTTGGGGCTTGGGCTGTAGAACCAGGTGATCTCCACTAGTCTTGTAGACGTATTGCATTGCAGATACATAGCATTGGTGCTTTGCGCTATACATCAAAAGCTGCGGGGCTCTAAACCCTAAAGCATGGATGAGCTGTAGGCTTTCCAGCTTTGCTTTAGTGGTGTGGGCTTTGGAAAGCCCAGGCGTTGAGGTTTCTGCCCAAAATGTGGGTACCCAGAATGGAAAGTTTGTATAGGGACATATGAAACTACAATAGGAATTTGTCGGGGTAGGGCATATCATTAGTACGAATATGAGTCTGAGGAGAGAATTGTAAAAATCAGTCAGGCTTCTCCATTGTTTTCAGCGTAGGCTTTCGGGTCTATATGCCAGACCCTACTCCAACTACTGAGTCTGAAGCAGCCCCGAGAAGAGTCCCAAAAAATCTTCCCAGCCGAGCAAAGGCCCGAAAATCAAGGTTCTCAGACTGGTGCCCTTGATTTAGGGCTTAGGTTTAGGATGGAATTTCATGCGTCTAGTCTTTGGCAACATAGAGTAGTCCTACGTGTGGCTGTGTCCACTTCCTGTTTTGCTGAAGTCTGGAAGTCAACCCCGCAAGCCCTAAACCCTATATGTAGGAGTTATATTGGAGATACTGGCAAATACCATGGAAACTACTAAATTATATTAGCGTTATATAGGGGTTATTTAGGGCCTGCGGCACGGGCCGGCCTGGCCGCCACCCCCCTTGCCCACCTAGCTCTTGTGACCTGGGATGTGTTTTTTAGGTTCTGAAGATCCTGATCTTTCTAGTTTACCTGAAAGCGGCCAAAAGAGAGGTTCCAATTGATGATGTTCCTGTACGCGGCGCGCGCGCGCGCCGCGTATACGAACATCAGCTGCACAATTGGGACCCCATTTCGGCTTGATTGGGAGCAGAAGGGGTCAAAAACCCAAGCAAAACCATCAAAGATGACTTTAGACACGGTTCTTTGTGCAGGCTGACCATGTTCTAGCCCACAATTGCATTTCACTGGTTTTTAC